ATCAATGACCCATGACCTCTGATCCTCGTGAGTGAATTAAAAACAGATCTTGCGATAAAACTAGCTGTCAAAAGTCTGAAAACCAGATTATGCCAATGATAAAGTCAGAGTTATTCGCACGCAAATTGTAAGATATATCGAATTGTAGAGCGAGATTTTTTGCTTGTAAATTAAATTGACTATATTCTCACTTTTGATTGCTAAAATACAGCATAATTAAAAAATCGTTTAATCAAAATTTAAAAATCAATAATACTAAGGAATTACTAATAGTAAAAATGCCTCTATATGAAACGATAGTTATTAAGATCGATTAAAATGCTAGTTTTAAAACAACCACTGCGTTTTGTTTTAAAACAAAATGTTAAGACAGATGCTAATCAAGTAATGAATATTTACATCATTAATATGACGTTTTCTCATTTTTTCGCGCCATTTTTTCAGAAACTACATAGAAATCTCTCAAAATTTATTAAGCCCGTTTATATGAAATAAAATTGAACCACCATTCGATTTAATGTCCAAGAAATAATGTTCGACTTAAAGCTGACGTAATGTCTAAAAAGTACACTTTAGCTGTTTAGTAAATTTTAGTTTAAATTAACGATTTAAAAACATGTTATGAATTTAAACTACATTAATTTCTTCTGTTTGTTAGATTTATTATTCATGGCTGCACAAAAGTATTTGAGGCATTTACGAAAGTATCAACAGTATGTGTATAAAATAAGAAGGCAGAGTTGTAGTTTCATCTTACAAAGGCTTTCCTTAAGTTTGTCCTAACTGTATTTCTAAACTCTTAACAGAACTAGTATTTTTTAACTGCCAGTATTGATTGAATTTTTTTATCAATTTTCATGTTAAAAGAAATATCATCCTGTTTGACTGTTATTGTTAAATACATTCCTTCATTACATTTTATCCTCGAGCTTTATGTGGCAATGGATCGGAATTACGAAAATCCTGGATTCCATCGGGGTTCTCTTGATCAAAATTAGAATCAGCGGCATAAATAGGGGTATGCAAGGAACTCAGCTGCATAGGGGGCCAAGCCTTGGATGGCCCTTCGATGTGCCGCGGAATTCGATCTGCATGTTCAAATTTTAAAATTAAAAAGAAACTACACTGGTATTTTTTTCTTCCGTAAAAATATACATATGTATAATATTTTAATAGAAACAAAAGCAGAATTTTGTGTGGTTATAAATTGAGGTAATGAGGCTTATTTCGTTTCAATCCCTCAACATTTGCCTTCGTTTTTGTGTAGTTTCAGATAGGCAGAACGATGCTAGCTACACAAATTTCAATTAAAAGAAAATTCGAATACAAAACAAGTTGCATACTGTTATTCCGTTTCTTCGCGACCGAAACGCTTTCAAGGAGTTAATGATGAAAACCATTAGTGAATCTGCATTACTTGATCAATAAACCAAGCTACAGGTAAAAAACGCAATTTTAATATTAACACAATATTATTTGCGTCTAACTTTATCAAAAATCCATTTTTGAAAAACATTTTATACATTCATTTACATGAGTCTGAAAGATGCGAAATTTTGAACTTAAAATACATTAATGTTCTTAATTAAAATCTAAAGAATAGAATAAGTATTAATTTTGTGATAAAAATAATGAAATATCTACGAAAAATCAAATTTAAGTCTGTAAATCCATTGTATCTAAGACTTAAATTATGAGAGTTTTTAATAAGAGTAAGAATCTAGTTTTAAGAGGAAGAGGAGTGGCAACCCCAGCTGGCTGTAAACGAACTCCTCTGTATCCGACGTGTTCTGTCTTTCCACCAGTTTACCTACTTTCCTTTAGTTTGTACGCTAAGCAATAGTTCGAGAAAAAGAACCGAGCTGGATACTAGGATATAGTTAAAGTATAAATTCTAAATAATTTAATTCAAAATTTTCTCTTATCCCTGCAAGAATGTGGAAATAAATTTGTGTTAATTTAGTTGTGTACTTTAGGCTCGAGGCACAATAATTTTTTAATTCCTTTTATTTCTCTTATATTCATTTATTATTCTGATACTGTTACTTTTGAAAATTCGTCTGGCAGGCTAGAAGGTCGGACTAGTTTAGATTAATCCAAATTGAGCTTAACTTTATAACGTAAGACATTTGTCTAGATTAGGCAATTTGCATGAGAATGATCTCTAAGGGAATCAAAATGCGTAAATTTAGTCACACAGGAATAAGAAAGATTTTGTGTGAATAAAAATGAAAATGCTTATTCTTTACGAATTAAATTTTATGTTTTATTTTAAAATAATATAATACAAGTCTGCATACGTACTTAACACCATCACAAGTGTAATGAACAAAAATATACCACGAAGAATAAAATTTACTCGCCTTCCCACACACATGTTTAATTCACAATATTCATCATATAATGATCACCATATAATGATTTTAAAAAGGACTTTTTTGTCTTTTCATTATAAAAATAACTCATTTCGATTCAGTATTTAATATTTGATAATTTTTAGGTTTAGAGGATTTAAATTTTGAACAAGTGAAGCTATTGCCTGTCTTCAGAAATGTTTCTAGTTTAACACATGTATAACATGTTTCAAATAAAAGCACCCCTCCCATTGAAAGCTTTATATCGAAAGAACTGCTCCGCCGTATGTTACCAGATATTATTGCATGCATTTCAGAAAACGAGGAAAAAGATTCTGCAATAAAAAGTTTCAAAAACTGATTGTCGATTTGGGTGCGGAGATGGCACTATCATTAGTTGAAGAGTGTGAAAAACTGCATATCGTGCAAGTCCAGAGGTATCGGAAAGAAGTATAGACAGAAAGTACGAGACCATAAAAATCAATTATCATACATATGAGTGCTTAACAGGCTGATTTATTAATAAAAGGTAAGAGGTAATTTTTTATTTCTATATACTGTTACGAAATGTCCAGCCGAAGTAAGATAGTTTCCTCGCAAAGCAGGTTTAGGGTTGCCAGAAAACGGCAAGGTAAGGCAGTGTTTCCACATTTAGCGAGAAAACACCCATTTGGCGACAAAATTGGCGATATGCCATATAACGGATGGAGAATCTTCTGGAACGAATTCTTACTGGTTTAGCCCAGAATGTTCTCGAACGCAAGCCAAAGTCTTTATAAACCCTGCGTACGCGGAGTGCGGAGTCCATCGAGTTGATAGTCAGTTAGAGAGTGCCTATTTGAGTCAGCTAAAAGTCAGTGAGCGAGTGTCCCGTAGTCTAGTGCCGAGTTGGTCGTCGAGTGCATCGAGAGAGTCTCTTAGTATATTACGAGTTAGCGCATCGTCGAGTTTTATTTTAGAGCGAGTTGAGCTCCGAGAACGACCGAACCGAGTCGGAAGCTGTATTCTAGTGTACTGTCGAGTGCATCGCGAGTTGTAGCGTGGAAAGTCTCGAGAGTACGTAGAGTTCCGAGAACGACCGAGCAGAGTTGGGAGCTGTACTCTGATGCTTTGTCGTGAAGCTGTCTTCATCGTTGTAGACTGAAGGCTGTGTCAGTGATTGTTTCAGCGTGTTTATAGTAGTTCTTCGATGATTGTAAAAGTGTTTTGGGAGCTGTCTTGAATAATACTGGCTAATAACTTGTGTTTTGATACTTCATCAAGTGTTGCCGTTATTCACTCAATCCACGAACCCGTACGTACGTAATAAAAACGTAACAAGGCATATTATTACAGTTCCAGTAAAATTGTCTCCAATATGTTTTGGCGCGTTCTTTCATATATGTCAAGAAGAAATAGGTTATATACACTGTATGTTTCTAGGAGGAATATGTATAAAATGAATCATACCAAAAGATTTAAATTTCATGTCCAACCATTCTTATTCTTTGGTCGTTTCTGTTCTTTTTACATCTTACGCAGCTCCTGAGCAGCGTCATTTTTGTAGATCAGGCGGAAAGCGGGAGGGCCGTTTTGCAAATGTGCGATAATTTCATTCCCAAAACTGTAATGAGGAAAAGATTTACGAATAAAAAAATAAAAATTTTTTTGGTAAATCTTCTGTGGACAAGAGAAAATAATCCGGAGAATGAAGCATGTTCGGAAATTTACTATGCATGCAGCCAGTTTAATATCAATATGAAGAAAAGTAGTCTTTTAAAAATCATTCCTTCTAACATCTTATGTATTTTAAACAATATCCTGTAGGTGGAACGAGCATGCCGTTGGCGAGTGGATAAAAAAGACTGCAGGTAAATACTGGGTAAAATTTTATTATTATTAGAACTTAAAAAAAAATAATAAATAAATAAATTTAAAAAAATTTGCAGATTTTATTGAAAACACCTTGAAACAACTTGCACGAGAAATGGAAGCGGAAACAAAGAAATTACTTGCTTAGAAATAGGAAAGGAATCATCGTTTCGAATAAAGTAGTTTTTAAAAATTATATATTACATATATCGTATATTATAAACAGAAAAAACAGAATAAATATATAACATTACCATTGATTTTATCTGAATAATACATTTATCCTAACCAGTTATTACTTTTTATCCTAACCAAGTGTTATATGAAAATGTATATTGCTATTTATCCTAACAATTTTTTCCCATGAAAATATGATCCAACTCAATGAACTTGAAATAGCATAAGTATATACATTTAAATAACATATTTAAGGTATCGATTAATATATTGGGTACTAGACAAATTTACAAAGCTTCGTGTATCTTATTTACCACACACAAAACACACACACACACACACACTATAAAAAAAAAAAAAAAAAAAAAAAAAGGCGGTACTGCCAAAAGTTTTCGCTGAAATCGCGCTTCTTTTCCCTGCTCTAAGTAAAAAATATTCTTTTTGAATGGATAATGCATTTAAGTATTTCGGAGCTCTGTTAGAACGGATGGCAATGACCACGGATTATTTGATCTATTGTGCTAATCAAAATCGACAGCGAGAGAGCACGGGGTAATCGCGATTTGTCGCTCAACCACAGAGTAGCAGACTCCTTTGCGCATCCTAGCTACCTGTTGGCAGGCAGCATAGGGTCACGTGGCTCTCGCATTCGCTCTCGACTAGCATCACGCCGCGGAAGCGAGAGCGATGTGTCCAAGTCTCTCACTGTCAGGCTATGCCGCAGTAGCCGATAACCAAGCCGCTTTACGCCGCCGGAAACTCAGTCAGGCTGTCGCTAACCGTCTGATGGGATGGAGAAGCTCTCAAACTCAGCAGCTGGTGGTGGAACAAGCAAAGAGTTTATGTGGTAAATATTTGAGGTAAGAGAGCCAAAGATTAAATTTTAATTTCGGAATCTGTGTTATTCAGATGACAGTTATGACAATACATAAACATGGAAGAAACTTTATTCGTTTGTTTCGAATTCACGTGGGCATGGACTGTCAGTCAAATCTATAAATGTGGGATTAAGAATACCAATACATAGCTCGGAGAGATGACTCACAAATTATTCTTTTTCCCCGATTAAATAAAAACAATTATAATTATTATTCTTATTGTCGCTACTTTTGCTAAAAATTCTCTGCTTTTTAACAGCACTTATTTTTATTCTATAAAACATGTATGCAATATTAAAAATGCTTGCTTCTGTCTCCTAAAATACTGTTTTACTGCTCATCTAAGTGAATAATACTTTACCTGGTAAAAGAATAATAATACAAAAAATCATTTGTTCTTAATTAAAATTATTAGTGGTTCAAGAAGTTCCATCAGAAGTTTTAGTTTAAATCAAGCAATTTTTTCATTCTAAATATTATCCTATTAACTTTGTACCGAAGTAAATATATATATATTAAATTAAAAACCAGCAAATTTTTAAATTCCCATAAAGTATTTAAATAAATCTACCAGAGGTCAAAAGTCAAAAGAATTATATATATACATATAAACTGTTTAGTTTTGCTTAAAGAGAAAAAATTGATGGCATAATTTAAGATTACACGTTTTCAAAAAGCACTATCTTACCAATGGAAATTAAAAACATGTTTAGAATGTTTTCAGAAGACATTTCTTATGTTATACTTTAAAGAGTTTGCTTTTTAAACAACAATATTCTATATTCTAAATTTCTTCTTAATATGATATATGATTGCTGAGTTTATTAAATTTTGTTCCAATGATTTTAGTTTCTGTCTAAAAACAGAAACTAAAATCTTTGAAACAAAATCCACAAAGATCCAAAAGACACACACGACGAAGACATTATATTTTAATGTAATCTAGTTTTGATAAAATTATTTACATTTTAATTTAATATTCGTGAGTTGAAGTTTACAATGTAAATTTAATTTTTCTTCCTGTATTAATTGTTTATGATATCGGTTACATTTTAGGGATTCCTTTCTATGGATAAAACTAGAAAATCATGGTCTTTACAGAATACAATCATTTTAGCTTACATCAGAACTTTTTCCTTTTTGAAGAAGAATGACTTATGATGGATTCCGTTGAAATTAATGAAGCAGTTCCCAAAATTGGCGCTAATTAAATGCAGGGTTTTGTTCATTTTTGAATATGATCTTTCGTATCTTTTAAATTCTGTAGCTGTATGATACTTCGCTGAAGATACATTTTACTTATCTTTATTATAATTTTTATTTTGTGCTGGTTTGTAACTGTTGCTTATTACATACTAATTATTACACATTGTATTATTACATCCACGCGTATATCCTATCTAATTAAATTATTAACATGGCAAGAAAAAAAATTCTTTCAGAAAACTCGAAACATATGATTTCATTTTAATCACCAAGTAAAGAAAATAATCCTCTTTATCCAAACTAATTTGCTAAAGAACACAGTAGTAGCTATTCTTTGGAATCTAAATAAATTTAGTTGCTTGATATTATATCGGCATCATCTAAAACGTTGCTTTTAAAAAATACTTGTTTTTACCCTCTCCCTTCCAACTGGCGTTTTCGTACAACGTCGAAGTAACTCATTTTTATTGCACATCATCTTCGATAGCAATATTATTTAAGACATTTTTCATAAGAAAGTTTCTAAATTTTTTGGTTTTAGTCAAATACGTAAAAAGTAACATACAACATAAGAGTTCAAAAATTGTTAAAGCTTTTAATTTCAATTATAATTTTTTAAATATTATTTTTAGAAATTTTGTTTTTAACGAATGTTTTTAAAATTGTATTTTGTTTATGCAACTTTTTATATGTCATATTTTGTAGGGTATTTAGCCCCTCTTTCTTCCCCCTTTATCGTTAGAAAATAGAAAAGCGGAAATTAGGCGAATAATTTCATTTCCGAACGACGCGATTTCAGTAAGAACATAACAAAAGTAAAGTAGTCAAGGATAAACTACTGTTTGCACTTATTTGTCTGCACTGATTTTATTATGTCTTTAAAAGAAACCTACAATCCAATAAGAATACTTAATAATATTAACATTATAAACTATCTAAAAATGTATCTTTATTTCTACTTTCCTGTAACTTGAATCTCGCCCTTTCTTATTCTTTTCTCTACTGCTTCTTAAGCCTCATCATCCAAAAATAGTTAGAGGACAAGAATGGGTACCTGACTCAGCGAAATCGTAGACTGAGTGTCAGTTCGCATTTGTTATCGCTATGGTGGGTCTGTTCTTGTATTATCTTGGTATAACATCCAACAGTTACGAAGGAAAGGTTCGGCATGATCTTCGGAGGTAGTTTGCGAATGTTTGTCTTCGTTAGTAAGACGGAAACAATCAGAAACTGAGACTAAAAAGCCAATGGAGAATACTCGAGGAAATAAAGTATTTAATTTCAGTTATCACTTAAAATACTTTTAATTTCAATTATAACTTTTTAAATATTGAATCAATGTTGCATGAAAGTTGCAACACGCGAAATAAAAGTTAACGTTTCGAACGTGGTTTAGTATTTCGATAGTTTGTTCTAATGTTTTGCACTTTGGAATACCGTAAACACATGAAAACTTAAAAGAAAAATTGCTTGAATAGCATAAAATTTAAAAACTCTTAATATCTCGTAATTAATTAACTGCATATTTCGAGTTTGAAGATGGAGTAATGCCAATATCTGTGGAAAACTACTGGCAAATTTCCTCAAAGAATGCTAGAACTTTACTAAGTACTTACTAAGTATAGTATAAGCAAACTTACGACAGAATTAATAATTATTTATTACAAAATTAATTGATTCACATTTTCAACCTTTATTGGAATTTATGACAAATAAGTTTCAATATTTTTCTGTTTTTTTTTTTTTTTTAGTTAGCTACTTTAAAGGAACTATTCTAGTAAAATGCAAACTTTAATTGACAATCCATCAATCAATGAACTCGAAAGTCATTCCTTCAGTATAACATATTATCAAAATATGTAAAGATTTCGCAATTCAATAGAATGTACGTAAAGTCTTGTTTTCATTTTAAAATAAGTATGTAGAGAGATTAGGTATTTATCGGAACAAGTGAGAAGGGAAATTCAGTTATGCCCTTGTCTGAATTAAAGCTCCGGGTATATCGATTGCTACCAATTATACCACAAAGGCACGCACTGAGGAAGGAGAGAAGGCCTTATGTTCTTTCTCACTTAAAGGGCGGATGGGGAAGAAGGGTATCCAGTTGCCAGATCGAGGTGATGACGAATTATTATTTAGTCTGGCTCCACTAAAGAGCCTATATAGAATTTTTGGAGTGAGAAACTGAGAAAGCAAGCAATGCCCTAGCCAGGTTTCGAATTCCAGATCTTCCGATTGTTGCCGGAACTACTAGCAAATATACTATGAAAGCAAGCAATGAAAAAGAAGAAAATTCCTTACAAGTATAGATCTGTAAAAAATGTTCATTTGGGAATTGTTGACTGGAATTGTCATCTGGGGATTGAGGTGACTGAAATTTGTCTTGCTAATTTGAATGTGGCTTTTAGTTACATTTTCCCTTTATTTGTTATAACTTTGTTACATTTGCTTTCTATTTAGACGATTATTTCTTTATCAGAGAGAAAACAGTATGTTAATTTTACACATTTGGGACTTAAATATGCTATGCGAAGTATCTAACGCTTTTCAACAAAAATAGGTTACTGATGTTCATCTAAAAATTTAAATCATCTCAAGTACCTCATACACACATTAAGTAAGGACTGCGCGTTTTCGAGAGGTTCGAATCTTGACGAGAGCACTGCACATTTTCACATCTTCTGCTTCAAAATAACCTAATGATGAGGGCATTGCACATTTTCACATCTTCTACTTCAAAATAACCTAATGACTCCACAAGCTTCGAAATTCTCATAAATGTGTTCCCAGTTAGAGAGAATATCTAATTTTTTTCTATTATATATACTTATAAAATTTACTTTAAGTTAAGGAAGTCATATAAAACTCTAGTATAAGAACTACATGACTGGCCTAAATCTGTCTTATTACAGATTTAGGCGGGGTACAATTTGAAAAGCGGGGTACAATTTGAAACATGCAACGTTTCCCTCATTTTCTTGGCAAACCCCATTAATGAAATCTAGTAGAATGGAGAAAGTACCCAATTAACTGAATTTTGGATTTAACAGACGTAAAAGTTTAGTCGAATCGAAACTGTTAGACTCAGCAAATTTAATTTGGAAAGCAATCCCTTCTATTCGCTTAATTATGCTTTTATCGCTTATATCTTTGAAATTGTAACTTTTGTTTAACACACTGTATTTGCTATTATTATGGCTCCTAGGGATGAATGAGTTAAATATGAGCATATCTAACGTAAGTGCTTAACAAAATGTAAAGCTAATTGAGACGCTTAATACATGTAACTCTAGCGAGGAAATACGACATGCAGGCTCCAAACCCTCACTTCAACTTAGATTGGACAAACGTGTGTAAAACTGAACAAACTTTCTGGCCGGTAAGAATATCTCTTCTGAAATGGTTTATTCAACTATCTTTAACTACACATCGTAAAATATATATCTTTATATTGTCTAATTTCACAAGGCAATGAAATTTAAAGTACAGACCATAATATTAAAATCATAAGTAGTACATCTCTTTTATTTCATTTTTGTAGCTTTGATAAATTAATTATAATAATGAATTTCACATATTTGTTTACTTGTTTTAAAGGCTCAAGAAAATCTGTATAAATACTCCTGATTATATATTAACGACAGTTAATGATAATGTTAATAATAAAATGTACTTTTTAACATTTCATCATTTAAGAGTAAATGCATTGTTCATCCGTCACAAGCAAACAAAAGGTCAGTTTTGTGAAAAAGCATTAAAGACGACAATGCATTAAAAGTAAATTTTTGGCAATTAATTCATGCACTAAAAGATAATTTCTGGCTTTTGCTTGCTATTTCTTGCCAATCCTAGAATTGAACGATCGTAGTCCGAGTTAATCGTAAAACTGTTCTTCGGAGCTTTGGCCAGATAATTTATCCAGTTCGAGAAACGGCCAGTTTCGGGCTTTTGACTATTATATACACACATCAAAAAATATTTCCTTTAGTAACCATTCATCAGTATCGCTACATATAGTCTACTAAATTTTGCGTATGCTGTTTCTATCTAGAATGTTTTAGTAATTGATTTTTACAGTTTTAGCTACTGGCATTATTTTTAAAGCGTATCTGTTACAAAATGACACAAATCCATTCAGCATTTTCGCTACAAATAATCAATTAAATTAAGGGCTTATTTGTATTTGCGTATGCTGTTTCTATCTAGAATGTTTTAGTAATTGATTTTTACAGTTTTAACTATTGGTAGTATTTTTAAAGCGTATCTGTTACAAAATGATACAAATCCAGTCCGCAGAATCGCTACAAGTAATCAATTAAATTAAGGGCTTATTTGTATTTATGCCTTGTTTCTGTCTAGACTAGTTTAGTCGCTGACTTATACAGTTTTAGCTGTTGGTATTATTTTTAAAGTGTATCTCTTACAAAATGATGCAAATAATATGTCAGATAAAAGCAGCGTCGATATAAATGCACTTTACAAATCTTTATCTTTGGGGCGTGTACAGAAACAATAAACAATTGAAAAAAAAATGTTTATCATTTTTAAAGACGCTTTAAGTGCCAGTCAGTGTTTACTAGGGGCACGTTACAATATTTTTCGAAGGCATTTTGTTAAGAATTTAAACATTTTTTCCCATTTTTCTCATTTGTATATTTGTAATATTAATTCTAGCCTTTGTTATTCTATAGTAATTTTATTTCGACTTTATATCTTCCATTTAATTAACATGAATATCAGTCACAAAAAATAAAATAAAATATTATTTTAAAATATTTTTTTCAGTGTCCATTTATTTGTATATACATATCTTTTATAAGCTCATTTTCGGTAACATACATCTTTGCAAAATTTCAGGGATTTATTTCTTGAAGGGAGCGATTTAAAGTTTTGCAACTGTAGTTTACATAGATTTAGTGATGAAATGAAGACGCAGAATATCACTGAGTTTTTAATTTTACAAGATGATGAGTCTTAAAATGTGTGAGGAAAATTTCAGAAAGATTAAGATAAAAGATCATATGATTATTCAGCTAAAAATCTCTTTACAGCATGAATCAAGCTGTCATTAAAAATTAAGCAGAAAATTAGATGCTCAGTCCTATGTTAATTTCCATGTAGAGAATTTAGTTTAGGCGGGTTGTAGAGTCATTAGGTGTTTCATCGGTGTAAGAAACTATGAAAATGCGTAACTCCCTCGCCGGGATTCGAACTGCGGACTTTTCTGATACTAGCCTAACGTGCGTTTTAGTTATACCACTAACGCACGCTATGAGGAGGTAGAAAATACCTTACAGGTTTTGCATTTTTTCTCTGAAAATCTTTATAAAAGACTTCAGCAATACGAAATGGTCATTGCAATGGTAATAAAACTAGTATTATATAAATAAATATTTTAAATTAAATTTAAAAGGCTAATTAGCTTGCATTCTGGTAACTGCTTTTTCTGAGTGAAGTGCATAAGAAACTTTCACAATGTCTAAATGTCTAACGTTTTTTCCGCTCCCTTCTTCCATAATCTACTATATGATATGTAATTATAATGAAATTCCTCTCTGTACTTGCGAAGAAAGATTTATATGTCCACATGTACAATTTTCTAATACATTATCACATATTGAGATTAAAAAAATAATTCAGCGCTTAGTAAAAATGTTCTGTGGACACTGGCTGCCATGGGAAAACACAGAAAATCTAGATATTTTATATTACTTTAATGTCATTTTCGTTGAATTCAGTTAGCCAAATGCATACATTTTTTTTGAAATGATAATTATTTCATGCTAAATTTAAGTGAAGAAATTCTAATGTGATTAGAATTTCTAAGTGAAGAAATTCTGCTAAATTTAAGGGAAGAAATAAATAATTTTTCTGAAATGATTTCCAGATGTTATTTACCATATGTGTTTTGTCAGATCAAGGCATATGACAATGAATCAAATGTGGCGCAATAGCTGCATATCAGATATCCTGTACTCCATAATCTGTGGACTCCATTTTAAGCATGGATTCTTCATTCTTTTGATTCAGAAAAGGCAGATTTAGATTCATGACAGCTGTAAAAGACTGATGTCTGCCATTAATTTTACAAATGAGCAGCACATTTACTCCGAGTAAACTGACTGCAGTTGCAGGGTTCACTGCTTCAGCTTCTGATATGCTTATAAAGATTCATGGCAGAATGTCTACTCCAGATACTTGATATTTCCAGTAGAGAACCGTTGAATTAATCGAACTCTATAGCATGCCAACTGGAGTGAAGAAAACGGAGGTCCTTACTTTACACAGTACAAATAGTTGTTCTCTTACAGAACAATTTCAGGCGTTTGTTCCTGTTAGCTAACTGCTTTCATATCGTAACATTTGCGAAGGGAAACATTGCAACGGGGGTTCTGCGCATGCTTGTTGTCGCATCGCTTTCAAGTGAACTCAAATACTTCTGTATGCCGACAAGTGATGGCAAGAATGCTTAAAATTGCAGAGATTAAGTTCAGGACTCTTATGCATGGCAAGTAGACAAAACATTAAATTTAGAAGATGATACTCTAGTCCAATATACAAAACCAGCACAGTGTAATAATATCTCTGAGAGAAAAGCTCTCTGCAAATGAACTGGCGTGTTCGATTTACCACGCTAAATCTGAGTTATTACGTATGGATATTTACGTATATATTACGTACAAGGAGACTGTGTAATTGTTTTAAAATAAAGCTTTGATTTCTGCTCTTTGCTAAGCTGACTGAAACCCTCGTAAACAGCATGGAATCTGTATTACTTGTAGGACATGACCGCTTGCAACATTAAAGGTGCTGAGTAATAGAGAAAATTTCCACGTTTTTGCTACGCTTTTAGGCTATATAACTTCTCACCAGTTCAATACTTAAAGTCCGAACAGGAGTCAACTTATATTGCATTATTTCAGTATGTGACAAATGAATTTAATACGGGAAGGAATAATATCTTTAAAGTATCCAAACTTTTCGCAAAGTAATTCTGTCTTAGAAAGTCCCCCCAATGTCAAACAATATATTTGAAATTCTTCACAAACAAGAAATTATGTCAGAAATCTTTACTGCCCTTTCATAGACCTTAAGGAGAAAAGAATTTTACTAAATGCTTTTGTTTGCAAAAATAATATAACATGTTATCTATTTATGATACTGAGTTTTTACATTTCTAGGTCGAAACTTAGAAGCTGTGCGCTACTTCATAAAAAACTTGGACTCCAGCGCTTGAAAAGCGTAAGCCATCTACCTTCATCTGCACTATGGTCATCCGCAGAAGTAGCCCTTGAATTAAGAGAACTAGGCTTGGAAATGGAGAGATCTCATCCTGAGCTTTTCCAAAGTGTACTTGAAAACGTTGGCCTTTATTCTCTTCCATCAGAATGTGGGGTGCAGAATTTATTACATGCTCTTGCTGCAGAGCTTTTCAGAGAAGGCCGTGTAACATGGGGACGAATTGTAGCACTGTATGCTATGGCTGGAGCTTTGGCAGTCGACTGTGTTAAGCTTGGTCATCCAGAGTTTGTTCTAGGTCTGGTGCAAGTAGTGGGCAATTGCGTTGAAAGAGATCTTGGTTCTTGGATCATTCAGCAAGGTGGATGGGTAAGATGTGTTTGTATACTTTTATATCACATGGAGAAATTTTTGTTTCAGAAAACTTTAGTCTTAAATCCATCGAATTCTATTCTATGGAGTAAAATTTTCAAGTGAGTAGTAAGAATCTAAATATTACTTGAGATATTCAATATTCATCAAATATAATGGACTAGTTTTTAGCATCAGTATAGCTATCAAGCTAAATTTTAAAACGTATGTACACAATTAAACAATTTAATAGTTTTAAAAAAAGAATAAAAAAGAATCTTTTTTCCGTACAGTGTTGCCACTGCTTTCTTTTAAATCTTTAAGTTTGTTAATCAAAAATTCGTAAAAGTGTTAAAAATATGAAATCGATAATAAAACAAATCCCAAATTCCAAATTAGGGCTTCCAGATACCCGTATTCGGTGGAAGAGGACATTATTCAAAATTTGATCGCTCTACGTACCGTTGTTTTATTACAATGCGAGAAACATATATACATTTATGCAGGGTTTTTATTATTTAATTTCTTTAAATATAATGCAAGGCTCTAACATTTGGCGGTTACAATTTGAAAATTCATACGCTGTTTATAGTGATCAAACGCAAAATTCCAAAACGAAATTAATATCCCTTCTGGGCTAACGCCCTTTGGGATAATTGCAAAACGCTTAGCATTTCGAATACTGTATACGTAAGAACATAAACTCGGCAAAATACAATGCTTACCTTGAATAATCGATCCGTATGCCTATTCCTTCAGAGCATTGCAAGAAGCGTAGATACGAGGTAACAGGTATTTTGAAGTTTGAATTTTTAAATTTTAATTTTTTGATAGTATTTATTAGGGATGCAACAGAAATGTAGCAAACATCCGTATTGTGGCATATCTGGATTATATATCGAATATTTGGCAACGGCGCTGGATATTATGATCATGTGGCTTAATACCTGGCAAATTATGAACCTGTAAAAAAGAAAAATTCTAGCATTTCGTTTTTTATTTCAAGACCTTTGTTGATTTTTTTTTAATTTCTAAAGTAGACAAAATAATTTTTATTTAAAACAGGAAAATAAAAATTCCTTTTTTTCTCAAATATATGTATTTTTCGCATTTCAGAATTGGTAAACTATGCTGTAAGGTAAGTATCGTTAAGTTCGTTTTGAAAAAATTTCCCTTGAGTTTCTTTACGTAAATTATATCCGCTTCGGTATTTATAAATTATATCCGCTTCGGTATTTATAAATTATATTCGCTTCGGTATTAGAATTTGTAACTCTCAGAAGTGCCTTCTGTTCATCTTATTGATTTAAAAATAAAAGGGTTTTTTAACCCCCTTCGGAAATTTCTGTACTTATTCTCTTAGACTAAACGATAATTCGCTTTACTTCTATCTAAAGTTTAGTATAGCTTTCAGTAGTAAAAGAATTTAAACTTTATAAACTACAAAACTTTCTTCAAGTACTTCCTTTTACCCCGAGTGGGCTTCTTATATTTAAAAGGACAATATTTAAAGGGAATTTCAATATAACGTAGAGACATTAGGTTATTTCGAAGCAGGCGTGATAAAAAAATGAGCAATGCTCTCACCGGGACTCGAACCATGGACCTCTCGAATACGCATCGGGTATGCTTCCAGTTACACCACGATGGCATGCTGAGAAGGCGGGAGAAATACCTTATATATTCCCCCTTTTAAATGACTGGGCGACTGGAGTTTAGGGAACCAAATCGTCAAATCCTGGTGGCGGAGAATCATCATCCACCACCATTTTAGTTCGGGCGCCACTGTAGAGACATTAGGTTACTTCGAAGCAGGAGTAATGAAAAATGAGCAATGCCCTCGCCGGGACTCGAACCACGGACCTCTCGAATTCGCGTCGAGCGTGCTGACCGCTACACCACGAAGACATGCTAAGAAGGAGGGAGAAATATCTTATAAGAAAATGAAAAGGAGTTTCATTCATTTTATATTTGAAAATGAATCATCCCTTAGAATGAATCTAAAGGGAATGTTTCAATCTCTTTCCGTATTTTCTTTTATACTGAAGGGAAACAAACATCCTGAGTGTTCACATGTTGATCATTTTTAATGTCTCCTGATAGCTATAATCGGAAATTTCTATTTCAATCTTGATTAATATAAAATTTCAAGGTTCTTTTCCTACTTATTCAGTTGATAGTACCAGCATCAAGTCTCTGGCTTGTAAGCCTGAATGTCAAATCATATTGTAATTTTACTGGCAGTCAGCGTTTATATAGAAATTAGCATAACACACGCATTGATTGCAGAATAAAGACCAATCCTTTATAACACCTCGTAGCTGAACAAAATTGAAATTTACCGATTTAATAAAATATTGATTTTCGTTATTGAGAACATTTTTGAAAAGTGACAATACTTTTTAATCAACTCATAAAATCTCACATATGACGACTTCGTTTGAATATTCACGTACCTCCATGTTTTTCAATTTGTAATCGGTTGTTGTATTTGGTTCTCTTTCATGGAAAAATGATTCCAAATCTCTGCGCGCTCTTTTTAATCTTATCCCAAGAATCAATTTAACTTACACACCTGCGCCCTTTTACTGTAGTTCTTGTTACTTGAACGAAGAGACTCTTTTATTATACATTCAATTTCAAACCTACCGGGGTGTTATCGTAAAGGAAAGAGGAATAAACCATACTGTAATAAACAGAAAAGTATTGTTAACAATTTCACCTGCATTTTCAGACACGTTAATCTGGAAAATAAATTCATTTTGTTACGTAAATTAAATTATTATTAAAATATATATTTACGGATTGCGTAAACTTTTACGCAGTTAAATTATGCTCTGTTTTGAATAAAAATAATTCCTAATACTATCACGTCATCTGCTATCATTGCTGTTACACTCGCATTTTTCTTTTCCTTTTTGTACAGAGTATCCGGGAAGTTTACGTACTGATATGTTTGTGCTTCACAAAGGACAATGTTAGTGTAATTTTTAGTTTATATACAGTATTTACTATACACTTTAGTTGAGTACTTACATTTACGAACTCTTATCCGCTGAATTTGTATGCACTGCATCATACGATAAACATAAATATATGCGTCCCCAAGACTTCCTAACATGTTGTTGAGCATCTGAGTGGGTGGGGAGGTATCTTTTGAAAGACTTCCTCCACACTTCCGAGCAGCTCTTCATTTGTGCTGTATCGACGATGAGAGACATGTAACTTGGCTTTTCCCCACAATAAGTTAGCTGTTTGGCGTTACCGGTCTCCGTGAGGGACATTTTTAATGGAGTTGCGTAGTTATTTGAATATGACAGAGCACGCGAAGGCTTTTCCATAATCATCTAACTAAACATCAAGGTAAACATCACGAGTAAGTAAATTAGAAAAACACTTCACGTTTCTAAGCATTTCAATGGGGGTGAAGGAGTTGCAGAATTCCGTAGAATCCAGCAGCCTAGAAACTGTTCACTAAGAAAATCATGCATCTGAAAGAGCAAAATGGGCAAGTGCACCGTCCGCTACTCTGAGATACTCAAACCAACAGGTATAGGTATTTCCCAAATTCTCTCTACTTGTTTCACCTAATGGTTCGTGATAGTAATTTTTCTGTCATTTTCCAATAAACAAATTTATACTTTTTTAGACAGGGTCCGGTTAGGTTATATACCTGTTCATCTTCTTATCCTTCTTGTGAATCGGGAGCATTTTGCTGTATTCTTTAATGTTTGTGGAAAAGACCCTTAAGCGTCCTAAGAGCATTATTGTTGAAGATGGAAAGAAAAGATGTACAAAATATTCTCTTGAAACATAGTTGATGACATTTTCTGTCGCAAATAGAACCAAAAACCTCTTGCGAATACTTGAAATACATAAAAAATTTATTAAAACGCAGGAACTTTTAAATGATTTGGGAAATTCTGCCATACTAAAAAGATCTTTGGCAATAAGTATTGGTATACTTATGATACTAATATATATAGTTACTAATCACAGAAAGTCAAAATTGTTTTTATATTGCCAACAAACTTTCCTAAAAATTTCAAAATAAATTAGAAAATTAACTGAATAGTTGTGAATATTTAATATCTGCAGTACAATTTAGAAATGCTTAGCTATACGCTTTCACAGTATTCAGTTTGTTGTTTTAAACAGAATTTGATTATTACTTTCTGTGTTCTGTCGCTTTATGTGCCCGAAATATGATCCAAGAAAACTGCTTCTTAGTTTAAACCTTAAATAAAGTGTTTATCAAAAACGTAATGTTCAGCTTTTTCTGTTCATTTGTATCTTTTTGAGATAACTATATTAAAAACTGCGCCTTGTACCATTTAGCTGGAAACAGTTAAGAATATAAATATAAGAATAGCATATCCATATCAAAAAAGAAATATATTACTAATCTGAAATGGAAATGCTTACATTCGCTTGGATTTTATTATAGCTATAAAAGTCATAAAAGTCTAGAGGCACTAAATGAAAGAAATGTGTGCGTATCTCACTATCATTTCACAAAATGTACATTATACGAATTAAACCTTTATTACGATGTTGATGCTTTATTACACAAGAAATGTTTTCAGAACGGAATATCTCTTTTTATGTACCACTGAATTTATCAGGAAGTACTTTTTTTAACCAATAGTTGTTATTTTAAAATATTTATTAAATTCTGTTAATATTCTACTTTAAAGTTTTTTTTCCTTTTCTACGCTGCACTCTTTATTATTATAGAAGCAAAGCAAAGAGCTTATGCAACGTTTTACAAACCAAAATAAATTTTTATGCGTGGAAAAATGTTTAAAGACTACTAGTATGTTTTCATGTGTTAATCTGAAGCTTTGAGCTTAAATCCTCTTATGTTTTTCACTTAAAGACTATTTTTAGATAAAGCAGAGAGATTAGTTTATATTAGATATAAATTTAAAGATTTGGGAATACTTGTAAGATGGCAATTATTTCACGTTGCTTAAAATGCACAGCTGTAGTATTATCATCTAACGTTAAGTTTTACT